ATAAGATTCTCTGTAAGCAGGACCAATTATTAGCTAATGTAAAAATACTTCTCTCATGTTCCCGCTTCTCATCTTTAAAAACAGCACAGTGGTGGACACAGAGCAAATATTTTATAAACAATGTTCTGACTTCCTTTAAATCCATGGGGCCTTGTACAAGTTTAGCCAGAGTTGTGTCTCCTTTTTCAAGATGCAAGGATACAGCTTTCTTTTTGAAGCCTTCTCTCTTACCCATACAAGCAATTGGTTGTTCCCTCACGTTACCACTATCCCTTCTGCCCCTCCCGTACAAACACATTTCTATTATAAAACTCAATAAATCTCACCGCAACTATTTGTTCACATGCCAGCCACTCCTTCACTCTGAGAGCAACTTAAACTAACACTCTGACATGTTCTACAGCAGATAAAACAGCTCCTCACACAAAACAGGCGATCAATAAAGATTTGGGGATAGTTAAAACAGCAATCACCATTTCTAGGTCCCCTAAGTGTGCCATAAACTGGTGCGCTGACGCTTCATTCTCAATATCTCTAATTCTCCCAATCATTTACATGATAGAAATGGAACCTGAGGTCCAGAGAGTTTATTTAAACGACCTGCCCAAGGCCCTGCTTTTAAAGGCAGCTCAAACTAGATTTATTTGGATCAAGAATGCGCGATCTTTCCCCCACACACTTAGGACTGAAGAAAGGAGAGATGCGGTCTCGGAGAGGGAGGTAAACTGTCCAGGCCTCATTGCTGTGGCGTGAAAAGAAGCAGGACCATAACCCAGGTCGACAGACCCCAGCTCCGGAGACCCGCGGAGCGCCAGAGAGGTAGGCGACGCCTCCCGCCCCCCTCCGCATCGCCATCCCCCGCTTCTGCTTTACCTGGTTGCTCGACCCAGCTCCGTCTGGCTGCACCCTGACTTCCTACAACCGGACCCCAACTCCTCCTTAACTCCCTTTCCCTGATGCTGAAACCGTGAGCGCGGGCTCATACGTCATCAGCCAGCGCCAGAGAGTGGTCACATGACGCTCCGCCCCGCTCTCCGCCCCTTTGGTCATGTGACTGTCAGGGCTGCCGGGAGCGGAAGCAGCGGTCTGGCAGGCTGAGGATCTCTGGCTGGGGGTAGAAGGGGGCGTACCCCGGCGGACAGGCGGGGGTGAGGATCCCCCCAGGGTCGACTCCACGTGCAGATATCGGCCCCGCGCCGTGCACCCTGGCGCCGCTGGGGTGACAGGTAAGTCGGGGCGGAGTGCGGCTCCCCGTCCCTTTTTTCACGTCCCGGGGCTGGGCCGCGCTGGCTGAGGGGATATCTGTGGCGTGGGGTCGGGGTCTGGATGGGAGAACCTTGCTTGGAGGACTGAGGGGCTTGCTGGGGCAGGAGCTGCAGTCCAGGCTCGAAATCTCCACTTAGATGGAAATTTCCACGCCACTTTGGCTTTTTAGGAAGTGATGTTCAGCTGCTTGGCCCACATCTGATCCTCCCAAGTTTACGGGAGCAGTGCTGTGTGGACGTCGTTATTCCTTCATTTACTCTCAAGAAAGCAGAATGATTAGTGAGCGCTTTCACGTTCTGATGGACCTAGGTTTGAATCCTAGCTCAGTCATGGGCTGTGAGTTTGGACAAGTCATTGACCCTCTCTGCATCTTAATTCCCTCTCTTGTGTCATGCTGGTGCCAAAGTCCTTTGCATTTAGAAAAAAACGTTCCGAGGGGCCTGATTCTTCTGTGATCTGTCAGTGAAAAACAAAAGCAAAACCCAACAGAGCCCATAACGGAATCTGGTCTCCTGATTCCTAGTGCAGTGAGCTCCCTCCAACATAGGTGATGAACGGAGCGGGGAAGGGTGGGGTTGCTGCCTCTGCTTGCAACAAAGAACACCTTCCCATCTTCATTGTGTTTTTTCCAGTATTCATGAATCACACTGGAGTGATCAGATTCATTTCAGAATTTTTCTGGAAGAGAGATGTCGGTCACTTTTATCTCGATCAACAACCATTATATTTTTTCCTGATAATGGATTGGCGGATATCAGTACTTCCTTCTCTATGGTACTGAGAGGTTTTATGAAAGGATAAAAATAGAGCTGTCTTCTTTTGTCCTCTGAGTAAGGTAAACAGTGTTTTGTCCCAGGACAATTTAATGCCTTCAAAATTCAGTTCTGTACTCTTTGGTTAATTGGTAGGATGATGCCATGCTTCGTTCTTGAAAGCATGTAGGTTTTTTTTTGTCCAAGATTACTTTCCAAACTGAAAAACACACTTTCATATCAAATTCTTGAAGGTAAAATTACAACTGTGTAATTTCTGGGTGCCTTGTACAAGACAATTAGGAAACTGAGTGAGATCTCTGGTTTTATTCATGCCAAATAGCTGTTTTCTCTATGGCCTCATTGTCCTATCTCAGTATTCAAAAGCTGGGAGTGGTTAAACTTGTTAATCGTAGCTTGTTCTCCTCTCAGTTGAGTCTAGAGTTTAATGCTGCTGAGACCTGGGTTAGTTCGGTGGCCTTCAAAGGACTTCAGGAGGTGACTTATTGCCCATTGTCCATTATTTTAACCCTTTTTGTCTTTCATTTTTCCAAGCCAGACTATATCAGTGCAAAAAAAAAAGGGGGAGGAGGAATGAAATTATGTGAAATTCAGCCTATTAGAGATCAATGTGGCTTAACAAGCACGCATCACAGGGAAAACTGAAAGGACTTGTTAATTTATGTCTTACTGTGTGTTATGGTATGAGAAAGAGTTCTAGACAACTGTAGTGGCTTCTCAGCCACTGTCTGACCCAAACTCATCTACCTCCCCTGATCTCTGCCCTTACTCACTCTGCAGTAGGCACCTCAGTTAATTTGCTATTCCTTAAATTCTTCTAGCGCAGTCCTGCCCCAGGCCCTTTGCACGTACTTATAACCTCTGCCTGGAATGCCTTTCTCCCACATGAGCAGATTGCAATCAACCTGTCAACAGGAGTTTACCTGAAAACTCAGCTGGAGTTGGGATCCATTTTCAAGCTCCCTGGAGTGGTTGTTGGCAGATCTCTTAGGCCTTTCTTGCATGGGCTCCACAGGACTCTCTCACACATGACAACTTGCTTCTCCCAGAACAAACAATCTAGAGAGGGTGTCGAAGCTAGAAGTCGTAGTCTTTTTGCAATCTAAGCTTGAAAGTGATCATTTCATGTCTACCATATTCTGTTCTATAGAAGGAACTCAAAAAGTCACATTCAAGGGAAGGGACCTGCACAGGGCATGAACAAGAAGGTGTGGAGGTCATTGGGGACCATCCTAGAGGCTGCTGACCACACTCAGATACCCTGCTGCTGGCTCCCTCACTTTCTTCTGATCTCTGCTCAAGTATCATCGTATCAGGAGAGCTTTCACAAACCACTGGATGTAAAATAACATGCTTCATCCCTTTATCATGCTTTTTCTTCACAGTGATTATCACAGTCTGATATATAATCTATTTTTCTGTTATCTCCTTCCTACTCCCAGTAGTATGTAGGCTTCGTAAAAGCAGGAACAGTTGTTCACTGCACTGTCCTCAGGACCTAAAACAGTGCTTGGCACACAGTAGGCACTGTTTAAATATTTGTCGAATGAATGAATTATTAGAAACACTTTTACCTGCAAATAATCCGGGACCCCATTATCAGTATATATATCATGAAAACAGTTCACTTAACAAGGATTACAGGGGTCAGTAGTACCACAGTTTCATAGTGAATCAGTAACATCAACAAGAATTTAGATTCTTTCTGTCCTTCCACACTACAATCTACAGATTCTTGGTTTTTTCTCTTAGGCTTGTCACCTCATGGACTCAAGGTAGCTTCAAAGACAAGAATAAGGGGAATAACCAGAGCACAGAAAGAGAAATTTCTTTACATGCCTCTCTGCTTATAGCAGGAGGGAAAAATATTTTCTAGAAGTCCTACCATAGACTTCCACTAATATCTCATTGGTCAGAACTGAATCACATGTCTAACCTAGCTAGCTTCAGGGAGCTGGGAAAGTAAACATGCAAAGTACAAGTGCAAACGTTGGGAAAGGCATGGTTGTTCATGAAGTTGAAAAGTAATTGAGGCTTCCATGAAGTTGGCAAATGATGGCCTAGCTAAATTAACAACGAAAGGAGAGAAATGCAACAAAAATGATGGCACAGATTAACCCTTCGAAAGAATGATTTGAAAAAAAATTGGGAGAGGCCTTTGGGAAAATGAATGATGCCTTGAAAAAAAATTTTTTTTGCAAAACTTACCTTTTAAAAATCATGCTATGAAAGGACTTATGAAGTACAAGATACTGTCAAAATCACAACATGATGAAATAAGCTTTTGATTCATTCTTGGTTTGTCCATTAGTACATAGCTGTTGCAATTTTACTTTAAATTTCATTAAGTATAAAACTCACTTTCATCAGTTTTAATTACATCATTTCAAGATACATTCCTAATCGATCTTTTCCACTGTTTCGTATGAAATGTTTGTCCTTACTTCCAAGTCACAGTGTAACCTTTCCCAGGCGTGTATTAGCCTCGATAACAACGACCTCCTATACTTGACACAGGAGAAAAATATTTTTAAAATTTGTTCCCTCACCTAGTTCTAGTGGATTGTAGGACAGAATTATCTTTTCCCCAAGATAAAACAAGTGACACAGTTTCTGTAAGGAAAACTTAATAACCAGTGCCCAATTTAGAGCATATTTAAACCATACATGCTCAGTGGTTCCTTCTCCTGAGCTCAGAGATCACCTACATCGTGTCTTTCCTCATGGAGAGAAGTGAATAAAGGATTGAGAAACATACCAAGAGTGTTGATTTAGCAAAGTCCCTCTGCATGGAAAACATGAAGAATAGAGAACAAATGTCCTCCTCCACCCCCCAAAATCAGAACTCATCTTTTTTTTCTTTAGCGAGTTTGGGAGGAAAATATTATATACGTTTCACATACTTCCTTTAAAAAATGGAAATTTTTATGCTTTTTTTTTTTTTTGATACAGTTATTTTAATGGAGCAGCCAAGCTGTCAGCTGACCTGGTTTCATCAAATGATTCACAGACCCCAGCTCTGAAGCCTGTTAAACATTCCCACCAGCCGGGCGCTGAGTGGTCGACGACCCACATCATGTTGGACTTTCTAGCAGAGAACAACCTCTGTGGCCAGGCAATCTTAAGGATCGTTTCCTGTGGCAATGCCATCATTGCTGAACTTTTGAGACTCTCTGAATTTATTATGCTGTATTCAGATTAAAAGACAGAGCTGATCAACAGAAATATGGAGATATCATATTTGATTTCAGCTACTTTAAGGTAATCTTCCTCTATAGCATTTTTACCACTATTTTGTCTATAAAAGCATGCTTTCTGTGGGAACCACAGACTCTGTTAAGTCATTATGGAGAAAGAGTTAAAGAAGAAAGCTTTTAAACCAAATTTAATACTAGCTAACTAACTCAAAAATAATATCAAGTTATTATGTGGAAGTCCTAGCACAGTGTAATTATATTTAAAAGATAACTTTGATCTGGAGTACCCCACACTTAAAAGCATGCTAGTCATGGTTGCAATTCAAATTCATTTCTTACAAGAGGATTTTATATCTAGGCTTCTTTTATCTTCATTACTTTCTGTTGTTCTGCTTTGAATTTTTGACACATTTTAAAAAGACTTATTTAGAAATTGTTACCAATGAGTATGTTATTTTTGGTGTTTCACATAAATGTGTTTTTCTTCTCAGGGTCCAGAATTATGGGAAAGCAAACTGGAAGCTAAGCCAGAACTACAGGATTTAGATGAAGAATTTCGTGAAAACAACATAGAAATTGTGACCAGATTTTATTTAGCATTTCAAAGTGTGCATAAATATACTGTAGACTTAAACAGGTATTGATTAATTTAGTAACAACTTATTCTGATAGTAAATTAGTGGAGAGGGAAAAGGGACATACTAGAACATATACATCTTTCTGAGTTACTACAAAATTTATAACTTCTACCATACATAATTGTCTTTCT